ATCATCAGTCTTCACATCTTCAATTTTTTTTAAAGCCTTGAGAAGCACCGAGGCTCGCCGAGCAGTGCTCCTAGGTTTACAGATATTAGGCATTACCTTCACGGATCGTTTCTGATTAATTCCATGTACCTTGAGCAAACTGTGGACTTCTATCTCTGGTGGCCTGCCGTCAATTTGGCCAGAATCTTGAATTAACGTTACGGTTGTGATTCTCCATCTCCCTGATCATGTGACCCTCAAATCCTCACATTTATATTTTCCTCGAGTAGACCACGCGATCTCTTTTCCTTTCCTTACCGATAGGCCCTTGATCCAGTCGTCTCCTTTTTGGGTGTCTTGTCGTGTCTTTGTTTTCTCCGAGTTTGCTTAGGCAATAGTCAACGTTATCCCTAACTCTTCCTTCCATCAATCTCCTATTCTTTACATTTCTTTTCGTAAAGATTTTAATGACGGATAGTAAGGTAATATACAGGAGGTTAGAGGAAGGAGCAATTAGCGATAACTTCTCTCCAACGAAAGGAGACGGAGACTGCTAAAGGCTACCTCTTGGTCTGCATACCAAAACGTATTGTTTACGCTTTTCTTAGCTTTCATTTTGTTTTGATACTCTTTCCTCATCCATTTACTTTTGTTTTCTAGATTATTTTATCAGCGTACTTGAAGACCTTGGTCTAAATCCACCGGCTGGATTACTTGCCTTCCGAGAACTGCTCATTTGTCCGGCCGAAGATTTCGCTTCTATAAGTGCTGATAAGCCATTAAAAATTGTGCATTACGTAACGTCTCTTCGTGGCACATAGGTTTTCTTTGGAGGACAGGTTCATGGAAACATTCTTTTCTTCTCATTTGCCGCGCTCCGATGTTTCTTCTTTATGCGCTGGATTTTCGAGTTTTTTGCCCTTGATTATTTACATCAAAATTAGCACTCGTAATTCATTTCACATCTTTTCAAGTGGTCTGAGGTGAAGCTAATAAATTGTTTGAACACCTCGGTCACTTCCACACAATCTTTCTATCATAAAATTATCTCGGTGAAATGATAAATGTTCTCGTCACTGCAAGAGTTTTTACTTATTTTTATTTCAGTTTTTTATATTTTCCACCATGCCCTTCACTTTTTTCTGCTGCATCTGTTGTATGAAAAGCGTATGTGATGACGCAAGAGCTGCTATTAAGCTCCTTTTACCTTGTATACTCAATCATTTCTTAAACTCAAACTTTCCGATGCAACAATATCTTTTTGACATGACAGACACACAAGAAAAGTTCTTTATATCCTGTATTTTCTATTTAGTATTGTTGAAGCAGTAGCTTTAGTTTTCCTCC